GTCTGGGGGTACCTTTGGGGATCGCCGAGATTACATGCTGCCGCAAGGGAAAAAGGAGTTTAGCAGCTGTGCGCGGGTGTAAGGTCCGTTCCCTCGCTCTTCCACCCTGAGAGACGGCCGGGGGAGCCGCCGTCCCTCGCCCCGGCGAGGCGCTGCCTCATCCTCTCCTGAAGCCAACCCGAAAGGTCGCCGCCAAGGACGTCCGCAGTCCAAGGGAAGTCACTTATTCACCGCCCAGCCCTGAGCGGCCCTTGGGAAGTGCTGGGAGCAGGAGGGGACTCTCCCTCTCCCAGAATAAAGCATCCCGGGTACTGGAGAGAACTGGGTGTACAGTGGGAACTGGCCAGGCACTCTCTGGGGCAGCTGCTTGCCTCAGGCACCCACCCGCGAACCGGGGTCAGAGCTGGCACGCTCCGAGTTTGGAAAGCCGGGGCTCGGGAAGGGAGTGCTGGTCCCCTTTGGCAGTGCCTTAGGTGGCTGAACCCAAGCCCTGACCCGATTGTAACTGGAGCTTAACTGGTAAATGCCTGAAATTCCAGACTAATAACCCGGTGCGGGGACAAGGCGAGGGCTGTGTGTGCTGCGGAAGGCTGCCGGCTTAAGGGGAGGCTTGTGCTCGGCCGGGGCTCCGGTTCCCAGCTTAGCATGGACTTAGCTGCGCCAAGCGCCAGCGGCTCAGGAAGGAAGGGCCGTGCCGTGACGGCCTCCTGCTCTCCGTCCTCCCCCCAGATAAAATCTGTGACCAGATCAGTGATGCCGTCCTGGACGCCCACCTCAAGCAGGACCCTGACGCCAAGGTGGCTTGTGGTGAGTCGCTCCCCGGGGACATGGGGTGACACCGGCACTGGGGGGTGATGCCAGCGCTGATTCTCTTATTCCCTCCCTTCAGAAACGGTGGCGAAGACGGGGATGATCCTGCTGGCAGGGGAGATCACCTCCCGGGCCGCTGTCGACTACCAGAAGGTGGTCCGGGACACCATCAAGCACATCGGTTATGACGACTCTTCCAAAGGTATGTGGCCAAGGGGGTTACCAGCTCGCCACCAGCATGTGATTTGGCACACCGGGCTCACCGCAGCCTCTGCTTTGCCCCAGGTTTCGACTACAAGACCTGCAACGTGCTGGTGGCCCTGGAGCAGCAGTCGCCCGACATCGCCCAGGGTGTCCACCTGGACCGCAGCGAGGAGGACATTGGTGCCGGGGACCAGGTGAGTTGCTGTGCCGTGTGAGCCACCGCGATTCAGCTGGAGGGGCCGGTTCAGCCAGAGGAGTCATGGCTCCATCACCCCCTCCCTCTGCCCAGGGCCTGATGTTTGGCTATGCCACGGACGAGACGGAGGAGTGCATGCCCCTCACCATCGTCCTGGCCCACAAGCTGAACGCCAAACTGGCCGAGCTGCGGCGTAACGGCACCCTGCCCTGGCTGCGCCCTGACTCCAAGACGCAGGTGAGGGCCCTGCCAGACCTTGCTGGGAGTCCCGGCACCTTGGGTGTCCCAAAAAAAGCTCTCCTGAGTCCCTGACCCTCCCACCTCGTCCCCTGACTGTCCCAGTGTTCCCCTGGCAGGTGACGGTGCAGTACATGCAGGACCGCGGCGCTGTCATCCCCATCCGGGTGCACACCATTGTCATCTCGGTGCAGCACGACGAGGAGGTGTGCCTGGACGAGATGCGGGACGCGCTGAAGGAGAAGGTGATCAAGGCGGTGGTGCCGGCCAAGTACCTGGACGATGACACCATCTACCACCTCCAGCCCAGCGGCCGCTTTGTCATCGGCGGCCCCCAGGTACAGCAGCTTTCCTGGCATCGCCGTGCCAGTGCGGCGGTGGTGGCACAGCGGTGATGGCGTTGTCCCTCGCAGGGCGACGCTGGTCTGACCGGCCGCAAGATCATCGTGGACACCTACGGGGGCTGGGGGGCCCATGGTGGCGGTGCCTTTTCGGGGAAGGATTACACCAAGGTGGATCGCTCGGCCGCCTACGCCGCGCGCTGGGTGGCCAAGTCCCTGATCAAGGCCGGGCTGTGCCGCAGGGTGCTGGTGCAGGTGGGTGCAGGCAGCCCTCCCCCTCCCCACGCTTGCAGTGCGGGGCTCCTTGGGGCTTAATCTGTGCCCCTCATAGGTCTCCTACGCCATCGGGGTGTCCCACCCCTTGTCCATCTCCATCTTCCACTACGGCACTTCCCAGAAGAGTGAGCGGGAGCTGCTGGAGATCGTCAAGAAGAATTTCGATCTCCGTGGTGCAGGTGGGTGCAGGCAGCCCTCCCCCTCCCCACGCTTGCAGTGCGGGGCTCCTTGGGGCTTAATCTGTGCCCCTCATAGGTCTCCTACGCCATCGGGGTGTCCCACCCCTTGTCCATCTCCATCTTCCACTACGGCACTTCCCAGAAGAGTGAGCGGGAGCTGCTGGAGATCGTCAAGAAGAATTTCGATCTCCGTCCCGGGGTGATCGTCAGGTAACGGGCGCCGG